TTTTTTTTAATTTAATTTAAGTTTAATAATGAAATAATTTATTTTTGTTTTAATAATATAACATTTTATAAATATAATAATTAAGTATTTTGTTAGAACTCAATTATTATCCTAATTATATTTAAAATGAGATGTTTATCATGTATTTGATTATGTTTATCTGCAGTTAGTTACACGAATTCAGTTATGGGATGAAATCGGATAGGGATAAAATTGTTTAGGGATGAACGAGTTTAAGAGTTTTAAGAGTTTTTAAGAGTTTAAGAGTTTTAGCCAAATGCTTTATAATATAGTATAGATATTTTTTTCAAAATTTTATGATATTTTTAAATTTATATTTTATTTAAAAATAAAATCATTAGTGTTTTATCAAAAACACATGAAATCGTATTATAACATCAACAGATACAAAAAATAAAATAGAACATTAAAATCGAGATGTGTCTCGCTGCATTGTGCGAGTACCCATCTAGTAATTAAAGATTAATATGCACTAAAACAAAATTGAGTTTATAGGACGACGCATCTCTTAGCATCCTAATACATTGTTTTATAAGACTTGATGATGTCATTAACAAGATGTCACACGTTGAGTTCCCTCCCTGTTTTTGGTTCTTGGAGCAAATGGCATCAAAATATTGTACAAAGATTAAATCAAAACTTTTGTGTTATATATAAACTTAATAAAGCATGGAGAATTCCTAACCAAAATGCATATTTTGCACTCATCTTCCTCATCTAGCCTTGGCATCCACGGTTGACACAATAGACTCGTTTTCATTGTTCAACTTGGTATACGAAGAGTCTTGAGGGTGCGTAGTCGAGAGATTGCTAAAGAGATATTCACTACCCATAATGTGATACGGAGATATGAGTTATTTTTATATATGCCCACGTCAACCGAACCAATAATTGCATCAAGGATGTCTCTTTTTTGCAATAGTTTAAGGTTTCGTTCTTGAGGATTTAATTGGCCATAATTCTATTTTCTTATTTATTCAGTAAAAACATTATTATTATTATTATTGCACCTGAAACAAGTGCCGATAATAAGTAACAAACCACTTTAGACTATTAATTTGAAGGTTCAATTGATCTTCCTCAAGTAGCATTTTGTTTACCTCTTAATAGTTCCATTAAGAGACAATCTCTGAATCGTTAAGAGGTGAATCTTGTTTGGCAAAAAAAAAAGTCAGTCTCTTAATGGTTCTAAAACCCTTTGAATGACTTTGTATCCTGAATCTCCCTTAACCATTAACAGCTCTGATTCATTGTACACGATTACCAAACAATTTTATCTAATTTTACATTATATCATGAGACCATCTTAATCATTCTGACCACTTAATTATTCTGTATCAAATTATTCAGCAATTGCCAAACATCCCCTAGCATCCATGTTTGACCGATATGGATCCATTTGCATCACTCACCTTGATGTATGAAGAGTTTGTTTGTTCACTTTTCCACAATTTATTTCATAGTGGTACTAACACGATGAGAACCAAGAACCAAATTAAGGAAGAATTATATAATTGTGTGGTAATACATTTTGATGACGGTTATTGGTCCAATAATGACCAAAGATATGATTGATCCCAATGTCATAAACCCCAATCCTCAAATCGTAACGGTTAAAACATAAATATGAAAGGTTTCAAGTCAAAAAGTAAGCATATGACCAAATTGTAACCTTCCTAGTTTAATAGAGCAACATATCATCTCTAGAAGAACTATAGTACTTGTTCTTGTTTTTGTCTTTTTCTTTGTATGTTAGGTGAACTTGTCTGGTTATTTTGGTTGGCTTTTTCATCTCCAAGCATCAATAATGCAACACAATTCAATGAGAATAACCATATCATTCTCATTTCTCATTCTCAACAAGGATGGTGTCTGATTGGTTTAAGCTTGACTCCAAAATTCAAAAGTACCTGGAGGTCACAGGTTCAAATCCAAGGAGGAATACAAAACCTATTGTGGCCACGGAGGTTCAAATGCGGTGACTTTGAGCTATCTACAAAGCATATAGTCGTCCTGGGATTAGTCGACTCGTATAGCGGGTTGGATATCCAGGTTAATAAAAAAAATTATATGTTTAAAACTCAATAAAAATGTGTATTTTACCGGGATTAAGGATTTTATTTGAAATTATAGTGCCCTCTTGTTTCTATATTCGAATTGAAGCAACTTTACTACGCATTTATATACAAATATTGTGTAAACATCCCCACCCCAAAAGCCCATCTCAACCGTCTGAACCCAAATCAAAATCATTCTCTTTAGATCAACGTTCCACATAGCAGAATAAGCTAGGCCCCACAAAAGCATATCCAACGGTTAATATATTCCCATGCTGAATCGTAGCCATCTACTGCATATCCTGCACCTTCTCCGATACACTCCATACTTTTACCGATTTATCCAAACTACCACTATAGACCTCCCATTTTCCGTTGCCGGCGTTCGGCCCCGCCTCCTTCTCCACCGCCAGACACTTCACCGGTCCGGTGTGCCCCGTCAGCACCGACAAACACGTGTGGACGCTACCCACCCTCTTCCACACGCATATCGTTTTGTCGGCTGAGCCACTGAACAACAGATCGCCGGCGGCCGAAAGACACAGCACCGCCAACTTGTGTCCCTTGAGAAGACCGCCGTGAGATATCTGTTTTTCCCATTCCCAGAAGTTAACCAACCCGTCGGACAACCCGCTGTACACAAACGAACCCGGTTTCGACACCGCCAACGCCGTCACGGCGCATTCTTGATTCAACAGCGTCTCTACATGACTGTGCTTCATCGACTTTCCATGCCCGTCGCGCTTCCAGACCTTCACGGAACCGTCCGCCGATCCGGTGAAAACCAGGCCGGATTTCGTGTTGACGACGGAGTTCACGGCGTCATCATGCGCCTTCACCGATTCCAGACATTTGGAGTTCGAAATTTTCCATACTTTGAAGGTCCGATCCCATGAAGCTGAATACAAAAGACCTTCTTCTTCATCTATACTAAGACATGAGATGGCATCGCAGTGTTTGATCCAGAGGGTGGTGCACTTTCGCTTCACCTCCACGTAATTCTTCGGCCTCATCGACGTTTTCAGGATGTCGAAGAACGTCGGAAATGTACCGACCCGTTTATGGATGATCGGATCCTTACTGTTCTTCTTCCAAACACGAACCTTCCCGTCTTGATGACCCGTAAAGATCCGATCACCTGATAAGATAATGGCCTTCACCAACCCGCTATTGGATTTAAAGGCCGTAAACTCCTTCATGTTCCTCCACACACGGATGTTCTTGCTGTCGGAACCGGTGTAGAGGAGGTCTCCGGTGGCGGCAAGAGAATAAATGTGACCTTCCTCTCTTACCAGAGAGCCGATGAGGCCGCTCTTGGTTTGTTCGGAACCGCAGACTCCGCCATTAGTGTGCCAAGGAGATGGTTGGAAAGGAGTTGTGTTGTTCCATGGCGACATCATCATCGGAGATGCCTCGCCGCTCATACGGTTGGGTTCACAGGACGAGAAGTTGCTGGGGCGGTTGTTGAAATCGTCGTTGGCCGGAGAATTGTTCGCCGAGAGATTTGGATCAGACTTATGCATGTTGTTTCTAGCGATTTTTGGAGGTAGACCAGCTGCATCCCCCAACGACATTGTGATTCTTGTTTCCTCTTCCGGCATTCAAGATTGAATTTTGAAGAATTTTGGTATGATTGAAAGAAAATGGAAGAGCGAAAAAGAAAGAAATGGTGGGTGGGTGGGGGGAAGTGAGAAATTGGTTACGAGAGGCCTATAAATAAATAAATAAATAAATGTAAATAATTTTTGTTGGGTGCCGTGGGAGATTATGGAGATGATGCCACGTGGTATTGTGGCAAAATTCTAGATGGGAATTTCGGGGTTCCACACATTCTTTGTTGCTTTTTAACCATAATTTATATTTCCATAATAGCAATTATTGTTTAAAATCAATAAAGGGTTGTTTTGTTGATTTTATGCAATTTGGATGGAACTAAGAAATTTTTGGATACGATGACATCATATAAAACGGTTGTATCTTTTAAAATAAAACGGTTGCAACTTTTATGAACCTATTTTTTTTAACCTTACCACGGAGAAACAATACGGTAGCACGTGCCATCTAACCACCCCTCTAGGTCCGTCTATATGGACCACTTACAAATTTGGATTTAATAATATTTGAATAATATCCTTTAATAGGGTTTGAACTTTTAACTTCTTAAAAAATTAGGATTTACTGGTATCTAGATATTTTGTTAGTACAGTTTGTTTGGTTTTCTTTTCTGGTTTTATTATTTCAAATCTGTATAATAAATTTGACCAAATAATATTACAACTTTTATAAAACATATAAATCCGTCACAATTTTTTTGGAAGCCCTGTTACAATTATACTAAAACTATACATTCTCTGAAATGAGTAATAAACAAAAATAAAATATAATATTTCATATCATATCATATCAGCAATCTTACAAATTAAAAAAATAAAAATGTTTAAAATAACAAAGCCAGAAGAATATCAAAGAGCTGTTTTTTGTTTTTAATAGGCAAATTCTGAAATTAAATAGTCTCTTTTGATTTTGAACCAAATTAGATTGGTCTATGTTAAGGTGGGTTCACAAGTTGGGCTATATATATATATATATATATATATATATATAAATCCAACCCCTAAACGCAAGTAAAATTAGGTTTTAGAATTTTAAGAGTCGTGTTCAAAAACCAACATTTAACATGCTAACGAACGGTCTATATATAATAATATTTAACGTCTTATATGTCTTATGTAGGAAGTGGGAGATTCAGATATTCGGAATTAGGAGATACATCTTGGGTTAGGGACAAATTTGACTTTATAAATATTTTGGGTAAATAACGGGTTTTTATCGTTTTTATGATTTAGATATAAAATATATATGGAATAAACAACTAGAACAAAGAAGTGGCTAATAACCCTAATTTAATTAGTGTTCCAACATAATGTTTTTGTTTTTTCTTTTATTTCTGATATCGTAGTGACTGGAGTTTCAGCTCTCGTGCAAAAAGATTTAAATGTATAACCAAACCAACTTAATACATTAAGGTCATGTTTGTCAATTATAAGCTAGCTTAGTTTTTATGCTTATTGAAAATGCCCTCATTTAAATGACGATAAACTAGTTTCTCTTAAGTTTCTGATGGATTTATAAAACTTATTAGATTTTATTTTTTAAGGCAATCCATTGAAAATGCATCCGAAATCAGTTTGTGAAGTTTGAACCCTTGACCTCTTAGAAGACAAAAAATTCACGTACCGCTAGTTCTTGAAAGTGAATACTTTATGTACAGGTTGTGAGCCAAACTTGAAGAAAAATTTGACAGATACGAAACAAGATAAACAGACTCGTCATCTAAGTCGAGTTAAAAGCTAATATGTGATTAGGATTGAACGGATCATTAACTTTAAACAAATTATTAACTTTAAGAAAATTAACCACCAAGCATATACAATCCTTCTAAAAAAAAGCTATAAGAATATGGTTGGAAACTAAGTTGGCGTAAGCCAAGCAAATGGTCAAGACGCCAACACGTTATTTTTCAAACATTCCACCTCCGCTAGTAACATAGGCCACATATTCATACTACGAGAATTATGTAACCACTAGAAATATCATAACCGTTTATATAGTAGAAACAGTCACTTGTGGAACCAAAGACAAAGATGGTGCTATCGAGGTTGCGACAGGAAGAGAGTCATCCAACGTTCATCAGTGCAAGAGCAACCATCAAAGATTGTTAAAACCAATCTCGTCCGTTAAGCAAAATAAAAAATGATATTCATGGTTTGAATGCAAACCGAGCTTCGTATCCCACATATAAAACAAATCCCATTATTTCGGGGTGACAATTGAATTCATACGGCAAACTTGATAGATCAAAATTTGTATTGTATTTACAAAAATCTAAAAACGGATATATAGTTGCCATGTAAGAAGGGTGTTGTTGCCTACCTCATAAATAGTTAAATGTGATTGTATTTTAGTTCATACAAAAATGGAATAAATTTTTTATATGGATATCGTTATCTTAATTTATAATTTTGTGATCATATGATATTTTTATAATTTTTTAAATTAATAAAAAAATTATCTGTACAGAACAATCCAACTTTATCTGTGATAAAAAAAAGGTTTATACTGGTTATTATTTTCATGGATTTGTTGGAAAATTTTGGATGTTTAAACTTATTATCAATCTCATTCGACTTGTTGATTTTGCTTTATTACATAATGGGTTGGGTTCTGGAGTAACCAATCATTTTTCGTGAGACCATGAGACATACAGTGTGAACTTTGTATTGGTTATGTTTTATGTAATTTTTTTTTGATCTATATGAAGGCAGAGACAGACCCAATGTAGTGCATAAGGTGGGACGGACCACTATTTCGTTTCTCCATCGTAGTATAAGAAATTATAGTGTTACGAAAAGTATCATTGTGTATTATCAATTTGTTGTGTATCACCGTATATATTTTGAAACTACAATGAGGGCATAAGTTTCCGTTGTAGAGTTAGTTTGCAAAACTTTTCTTCCACCCGAGACCAGAGTTTGAGTCCAGTTTGTGTATTTTTCTTGATTTTTAGCTTTTAATTTTAGATTTATTATGTTTTAAAAAAAATTGCAATAAAAGACTTGAACACAAGACCTTACATATGAAAAACAATAAATTAACCACCAGACCGATGTTGATTTATTGAAAAATATACATATATTTGTTTCTTATAGTTAAATGATATCATCATTTGAAAAAAATTCTAGATACGTCTCTATATGAAGGTTTGGTACAGTAAATGCCTAGTGTTCTATTGTGAAGGTTTAATACTTTGATTTAAAAGTTTGACAACATATAAAAAAACTCATCTAAACATTCATAATGTATCTTACGGTTCACAAAAAAACTGGTCTCATGTCATGTCGTCCTTTCGTATTTATAAAACTACGTAGTCCTGATTTATTTACCTACATAAAAAATTTCTCATGATTTTGTGAAATATATTTTTAATATTTTAGCAATTAATTTTAATTTTTAAGTTTCCAAAAATAGAATAAAAAAGAAAAATTGACTCAAATATCTATTTCCAATACTTAAATTGGTCTCGTAATCATTTCTCTCTAGAGTTTATCCAAATGTTACTATTTTCGCAGTATTAGCTAGGTCTGCAATATTAGATAAAAGACAAAAAAAAATCAAATTCAACTAATTCACCATAGCAATTGCGGACCTGTTTGTTGCTATTGTGTACCTGGTCGTCACAATTGCAGATTTGTAATAAATTTAATATTTTTTTGTCTTTTAATTATTTTACGATCGTAACTAATATTTCGGACTTGGATATTACGAAAGCAGTAACATTTAAATAAAATCAAAGAGAAATAGTTAAGAAAACGATTTAGGTTTTATACAAATAATTATTTGAGTCAGTTTTTCATAAAAATATTAATATAAATATAAAAAGTTTCCAATAACCGGAACAAGCGAAATAAAATTCTTGTGGACCCATGGGAAACTGACACGTAGAAATCAACATATGATGATTACGACATCATTACGGCGGTTGTTCCTCCACGTGTCCGGCTGATTTGTTCCTAGGGTACATGTCTTGGTCCCACCACCAAGATTTCCTCCTTGCTTTTAGTACTCCTATAGTATAGGATCGTAGCTCTGTCCCAATTATACCTCGCCACGCGTAAGCTTCCATAACTAAAATTGAAATCGGTGGCATGGTGGTGTAAATTTTGCACCGGTATTTCAGGTAAATTACGTCTGACTTTCACCCGTCAATGATAACGTATCAACCAATCCCATGATTTCAATATAAGTTTCGATATCGAATCAAATTTCGATTTATCAGTAACGATCGTTTTGATTGATTTCGGTTGTGCTCATCTTGATCACAAGGGGTGATATAGTGGTGGTGGCGTTAGTGTCAATATCGACCAACATTTGTCGGTATTGTCTTGTTAGTGTTAGTGCATAGAGCATGTGTGGGGCTTCGAGTCGATATTGATTAAAAGTTGTTTAATAATCAATCATATTATGCTCGTTGTCACTAGCATCATCAAACATTTGACTTTAACCGGACCCGGTTCATTATCACCAATTCTTCTTAAAATAATTTAATTGATCGTTACTAATCAAAACTTAATCGATCCTCTTTAGTCATTATTCTGGTACGTACAATCATCTATCAAACTGATTGATTATTAAAAATGCAAGCTTTATAAACTATCACAACTATGATTACTGTATGGACTACCTTATAAAGCGAAGATTGTTTGATCAGTAAAATACTTGTTATATTTGAAATACAGAGGTGGCGAAAACTTAAATACTTACGATATGTCTATGCTAAACAACAATGAACGGCCACAACTAAGTTTCATCGCCTTCGTTTCTAATTTTGAAAAAGGTCTCAAGAAATTAAACGTAGCCAATATATTTCCAGTTTTTGTGATGTTTGAACGACAAGTAGTTGAGCAATTCTCCGAGCTACGGGTCAATTCAAGATTTCTAACACTCATTTTGTGCAATTATGATC